TAGATATCAAGTGGAAAGTTAACAAATGTTGCCACCAAAATCACTTTTGTATACCAGTTAATATAATTAGCTTACCTGATGCTCTTAATTTCTACATATCTCCTGATACCAAAGCGGTGTATGACATTTGCAGACTGCAGACTGCAGACTGCAGACTGCAGACTGCAGACTGCATGAGGCAGCAAGACTGTAAATTGAATGAAACCAAAAGTATCGTAATAAAGGTGGCATCATCATCAACATTACTTTGTTCCGAGAAGTACATGTAAGGCCTAGAAGCGAAGTTTATATTTTTCATGCAAATTACACCGACCTCATTCCTAAAGGAGTTGTTGGCTGTTCTTCTTGTATTGAATTAGAGCAGAATAATGTCTGCCGATATCACAAACTCGCTCATGAATCCATAGCAACAGGCTAGTAATTTAGCCAGCACCACAGACGTGAAACAGCGCCGGAATCCTTATTCTACGGGGGCCCCACCTGTGTACTAGGATTTGAGTATGAGCAATGACTGGCCTGTTAAAAAAGCCATTGTCGATTTGCCTATTTAGAAATTCAAAATGCACTTCCTGTAATTCGTCGAGTCCAGGTAGGATCTGTTCGGTTTAGATTATTTAGCATATCCTTAAATACTGCTAAGATGAAATACGTCATTTAAAAGGTGTTAAATGTCCATGATCTATCCTAGTTGTTTTTGTTGACATAACTGTAGTGAGCACGAAGTGCTTGCAATCTAAAAACTCTTTTTTACAGAAGAGTACTATTTAGACAGTCATTAGTGGGCATTGCTACTTGTTATTATCAATTCACAATAATCAAAGAAGAATAAAGAATCAACGCAATTAGTGATATGCTGGGTGAGTCAATAAAGAATTGCGTCGGTGAAGAATAGCCACAGCATCTTGGAAATGAGGCCAACTTGGCTACTTTCTCACTTTCACACGATGTTATATTTTTGATGGTGTCACCTTTATTAGGAAAATTTTGGGTGTCTTTTAATTTATAATCTGCAATCTGTAGTCTGCAGTCTGTGGTCTGCAGTCTGCAAATGTCATACACCGGATTTGAATTCAGATTTGCAAGCTTAAAAAGCATTTCAGTTTTAATTCTTTTTGTCTACTAGTTGATGATTGGAAGCTGTAAAAATAACAGAGAAAATTATCCGAGAAAATGCTTTTGAACACAAGAAAAAGAAACCCGGGTTAAATTTAACCTTGGGTTAAGCGCTAATCGGCCTTTGAACAACTGGGCCCAGCAGTTTATCTTTGCTATTAGAGAGATTAAGATTTACGTTTACGGCATACGGCAAACGGCAAACGTCAGTTGAGAATTTCTCAGAATAGAAAATAAGCAGATAAAAACAGTCCAGAACGATTCTTGTGGACAAAACTGGCATTAAACTACTTATTTTTGTGTAGAAACAATAAACAGTAAACGAAAAATAAGGAGAAAACTTTGTCACGTGGTACAAATTCACGTTTGCCGTTTGGCGTAAACGTGAATCTTAATCTCTCTATTAATCAACCATTCGCCTCGATCAGGTGGCGCTGCCTCGATCGAGTCCTAGTACTTCATGTTACCTCCACATAGTGCCCATGATGAACAGATGACTGAACGGTTTGTTTTACACTTACATATTTTTCATTTATATCTAATCATCAACAAAAATACAGAAAAGTGCATTTATTTAGTAATCCAAGAACGTTTCTCATCAAACATCTGATATGTTACAATTTTTGGCGAATATCCCGTATCCCTGAAACTACTTCTCAATATCCTGTATCCCAAAAACGTTTTCCTCAAATATCCTGTATCCCGGTAATTTTTTCCGCGAATATCCCGTATCCCGAAAACCCGTAATGGGGCCTCAATTTGCCCCTTTGTCTTTTCATAAATTATGCGTACATTTGCATGGGAATAAGATGAAATTTGAATGGAACAGCTCTTTTGAGTATTATCACATGACCTACATTGGGAAATTAAACAAAACATACAAGCCAAGAGAGGTAATATTGCACCACTACGACAACCTGAGTGACGAGCACATAGGGAGTTGAAGTATAATCTACTAAAGCAGCAGACTCAGAGTCAAAATGAATTTAACGGCAATCTGAAAACGTGAAAACGATTGAAAAGGTAATGAAAATAAAATAAATGAAATAAATGCTATTTGCGTTTCAGTGGCGGTTGTTTCAAGAAATATTTCATGTGGATGGTTTTAACCGTATCCGCAAAGAAGGATGTGCTGAAATTCATTAGCTTTAGATTTATGTCAGTTTATAGTGAACGTCTCAGCACTTTTCAAAGCATTTTTCCTACATGAAAATGATATCAAAGACGAAAATTGTGATTTCCCGCTACCATTAACCTCACCCTTACCCACTAAATATTACCTTCACCCTTTAATACAGGCTTAACCTTCACCCCATGCAGCACGCAGGCTACCAGCTAGGTTCTCGCTGACAGGGATGCAGCGTCAT